CTACTGTGTACAGTCCTCTGTACCATATACACCCTGTGAGAAGGGAAGTATACATCCATAAGGTAGCTGGAACAGTTTTCCCTACTGGGCCTGAGAAGTGGGCAGGACCAGGTTAGTGTATAGTACCATATTACAGGCATGTTTTTAACTTCATAACTTGAATTATTTCTGGAATTTCTTCAGTCCTTTGGTGGCATTTATTATTTAGCCATTATAATGGGAGCCTCTAGTTTAAGATAATCATCTTGTTTTCGCATCAGTCAGGAGAAAATATATGCATATCGTTCATCTACTATCTCAGACACAGAAGACCCACTGGCGATGTTTCTCTCTCCAAAGTTTATAGAAGAAATCAGATAAACACTTTAATCTAAGTGTTCAGCCTTTTGGCTTTTCGGCTATGCTGCTCCATGCCAGCCAGATAAATTCAAGATTTTCAGCTCAGTTGTTATAATTCTGCCTTAAGTCACTGGGTGATACAGGATGCCAAAGGCTGAAACTTAGAATTTTTGACCTAAGTAGACTTATAGTCTGTGCTGGGGTCAGATACAGAGTGCTCACATTTTACAGAATGGCAGCACTAGGAACACTGTTGCCGTTTTTCATGTGCTGGTTTTTCCTTTGTGGTAATGTAGTTTTTGCAACTACAGTGTGATTATTTTTATTTCTCTCATTTCTGTATCTTAGTGTCCTCCTGCAGATAGTAGTCAGATGGTCTCCCTTGCTAAATAGATAGAATTTATGCTATTGCTTACTTATTTATAGTCTTGTGTAATGTTTATTCATTATTAGATTATGGTCTTATTATAGTGTCCTGTCCATCAGCATGGATCATGAGTATGGGTCTACAACATCGGGTGCTTCTTCAGATCAGTTCTGACTTAGGTGTTGATATTCTGTTCTGTGGTGTATTTTAGTGTTTGAAATTAATATTACCTTAACATCTGAATCCAGACTATTATTTTCAAGTGTACGGGCATGAGATGTAGATTTTGTCATTTATACAAATGAAGACCAGTTGTAATTTCAAATCTGAACTGTTGAATCTTAGCTTCATAAAAACCATATGATTCAGTCATTTCTATAGATAATGGAAACAAATTCTGCAAGGAATTTGGAGGGAATTTATATGGGTAAAATAGTAAGGATGTTTACCAAAACACTAATTCAAAAAGCTGGGCTTTAGGAAAGTTGAAAATATAATAGTTGAGACTAAAAGTTAAAGTTATGTAAGGATATGTTCAGAATGATTATGACAGAGTGGGGCTGTAGAAATTGTGCCATTTGCTTCTATGTACCTTTGAAATCCAGAAGACAGAGTCTAAATTGATGGAAGTTTTTTAGTTTCAATGTTATAAAATTGTCCCTTGTCAGTCATAAAAGCTAAGTACTAAAGTGAGAAGAATGTTGAGGATCAACATGCCTGTGAGAAAAAGCTAAAGGAATAGGGATTTTAAATTGTAGAATATTTTCATGGGCTTAAGCCACAAAAGTTGGAAACATTCAACTAGAAAAATAATACTCTACATTTTAATCATCTTAAATTCACAACCTCTGTTTCATTTTTCTGAATCAAAATGCGGCTTTTCAGTTCAACTGAATGAGTTTGGCACAGTCAACAAGGAGTCAAATTTAGACTTGTGTCCGGCAGCTATCTTTCGACATTACTATGGACAAACTCTGCAATTTTACACCTTAGACGATAGTCACGTTGAAATGTGTTGCTCTGGTCCAGGTCATATATTGACAAATGTGTTAAATAAGAAATTAATGTCTGTGATAGCAATTTAGAAAAGTAATCTAATACCTTGAGGTACACAATCAGAAGTTGATTAGGAAAAAATTTGTGATGTGTTTGATCATATTTTAGCAGGTCCTATCATATTTATAGCAGGTCCTATTTGGACTCAAATGTTTATGTTGATTGTGCAGTTTGGGGTACAACAGTGGTACATACAACAATAATGTTTATCCACATTTATTTTCTATTAGTCTGTCTCTAATTTTTTGAATTTTGTTTC